TTAGTGTACAAACTCTTTTGTACACTGAAGAAACACATGGTACAGAAGGGTTGCTAACATAGTCATTTGACACGGCAAAATTTTTATTTTTAGTCAGCTAAAGGCATTGCTATTGTTTCAGTCCTTGCTTCCATAATGTATGACAGCTTCTGCTTTGTCTCTGTGAGATTTAAAGGGCTATAAAGTGGCTTCTAATATGTTCAGAGACAGCCAGGTCGGTGCTTTTAATGGTTTCTAGCCTTTATTAGAAGCTGTAGGAGGGACTTGCTTTCTGTTAGGAAATAACACAAGGGCAAGTATTCTCCACACAGAGTCTAACAGCAATTTATGAACTAGTTATGACATTTTATCCCACCGGGTTGTTCAATAGTCACTAAATGCAATTCACTGATTTGTTTTCATGGGCACCGTTTGTAGTGCTTTTGAAGGGACCTGAGTTGAACTGTTTTTGCTTTTATTTTTAATTAACATTTCATGCATTCACAAAAAATGCTTTCAACTGGAATACAAGAAATGCTGCTATCAAAAAAAGGGAAATTAATATCCATGCATAGAAACAAAGAGGTGGCATTTGGTTCCTATTTCATGCTCTGCAGTGAGACCGGCAGCTGTCACTTCATTTAAAATATCGTTGTAGAAGAAAAGAATATAAAGATCTGAATGACTCAATGTTTGATAGTTTCAAAAATAGTTCGTTTTTAGAGCATTTGTTTTCCTTACTGCAGTCTAACAGTGACTCCCTTCAAAAGAATTGCATGGCATACTTCCTATGCTCAGCCCACCTGTCAAGCTGCTCTGTTATAGCACGCTAGTAACACCCTTCCTAAGCTTACGGTGTAATTGGGTTCGCTATTTTCCTTGTTGTGCAACACAGTAAAGGCCTCAATCTGTTGTTTTCTTTAAGCCCGTTGATAAGGAAGTGGACTCCTTCTCTTTTCCTCTTTCAAGCGAGAGTGACCTAAAAGACGGGATGAGGCAGGTACGTGTTGCAGCACAATAGCCAGTAAATCTCTCCACAGCAGCCACACTAGAGCCCTGAGTGCATGGTTATGGAGGGAGGCTAATCAGCTTTTGGCAGATGGGCTAATGTCCTTACAGTGGCTGAGAGGGGGGCCTATATTTAGTGTCCACTCTCCCGCTTAACAGGGGATAACAGTGGCCCTGTTCTTCTTTCCATAGCTCATCCATTGCTGCTTAAATTCACCAAGAGACCAACTGAGGCAGAGATGAAGGGAAATGAGTGAACACAGAATTATCATAATAATAATAAACACCTAGATTGAGAGCTTTAATCTCAAGTAACTCAAAATAGAAGAGTCAGTAGTTATGCACATCGAAATCTTTTCAAAAGCAGGCATGAAAGCAAAAGGAAAAGATAAAGAGGAGAAAACATAAGCAGAGTGTCAAGTAGAGAGACAGACGAAAGGAAAAAGATGAAAGACAGAGTTGAGTAACGTTTTTTTCCCACTGTCAGCAGGGAAAGTGACATCTGGAGGCTGAAGCTTGCGGGCATTAGAGTGATGCAGACCTGGAGCCAATCCACTCAGCAAGTTACCATGTGTCCCTGGAGACCTGGGCTCTGCTGGTAGTAAGGTTTGTAAATTCGTGATACCTGCTTGCTGTTTCAGACTCACTTAAAGCTAATTAGCTTGGCAAACAGTGTGATGACGTTCGTTGATGCTCATCTGTGACGTCTCACTGAGGGGAAATCCTTCACGTTCAGCTGTTACTTGCTGGCAACAAGAGTCATGCACTTGTGTGGATGTGCGGGCACTTCAGAGCATTGACCTAATGAGGACTTTTCTCCTAATGTCAAAACCTGGACACCAAATCCAAATGCCAGAGCCGTTTACCTCGGCTAAACTAAAGTTCAAGGTGGTGAAACGTCTAATAATCATCATGCAAAGTGCTACTGCGGCTGGTAGTGATTGTGATAAGAAAGAAAAATCTTAAAACATCTTATGTCCAGTGGGCTCCTTTTGCTTTTAATTAAGAAATTGCTGCACTTGAACACAATCATCAGATGTTTATTTTCAGGTTCAAACAGGATTGCTGTTGAAAACACTGACAAACAATGAAACAATCTCTTTACAGCAACAGAAATCCACATGGAACAGCTCAGAGCAGAACGTACAATGAACATGTGTAAATGTAAATCTCAACCACTGTATTCACCAAAGCAGGTCTCCATCAGCCAAAACTAATACACAGAAAAGCACCTTTAAATTCAGTGACACAGCCTTGTCTGTTAATTCGTCTGAACACAAAGTGTACAAAAATAGAGATCGATAGAAAAATAGAAGATCTGACTTGTTTGAGAGAGAACATTCTGAGTGAAGCGCAGAATGCAGTTAAAAACTGGAAATGTACTCTGTCACTCCACAATTGTTATGAAAACTCTACTTTAAATCTCAGACGAAACGCTTTAATGCCTTTCAAATATCCGTGCATTTTCAGTTCTACTTATCTCATTATTTCCTCACTGAGACAAATTTCAGTAGCTGTTAACTGTGTTCTCCTCTGCTGGGCCCGAGCTCTGTTATGACACCCTTGCACACACAAACCAACTTCCACTCCTTTGACAAATTTAGAGCTTGTAGCTTGTAACACAATTGTTCCCTTTTTCTGTTACATGTTGTTTTATTTTAAAGCAGATACATTATGGCAAAATGCATTTGAACTGCATACAAAATTTCTTAATGCATTTGATAAAAAAAAAGAAAAATTAAAAGTGTTTTAAATCTTTTACAATTTTCCAGTGTAATTTTTTGAAAACTGATCGCCCATGTTTCAAAACTTTCTGTTAAACATGTGTTTGTTACTCAAAGGTACCTTGTAGAGTTTGTTTGATTTTAGGAGCTCTAATAGAGCAAAATCTTTGGTTGTATCGTGCATGTGTATGAGAACATGCATACATGTGATGTCATGCATGAGGTCCAGGGCTGGCCATCTGGCAGAATGGGCACTTTTCCTGTAAGCCAATATAAGCATTTGCATTTGGGTGGACGCACCGGTTTTTCAACAACACGTCAGGAAAAATAGTCAGCTGGCCAAAATGGGTAGGAGTAAAAGGGAAGGCACTTGTGGAGAAAGCTGAAAGCCAAAACACAGATGCTCAGTTTGTCAAATTAAGGACCTGTGGGCCATAGTAGATGATTGTGGTGGCAGGTGCTGTGAGAAGAGGCCCAACAGCCGGACAGTAAACGAAATAAAAACTTGCAATAAGGAGAAGCTAATTTAATTCAGCGTTTTATATAGCACTAGTTGACTTGGCTTTACTTCAAGGCATTTTCATATTGCAAGAATGCACAAGAATCCCGCCGATCAGACAATCCTCTGCGAGCAATCACTTGGTGACAGTGGAAAAGAAGAACTCCCTTTTAACAGGAAGAGAACTCCAGAAGAGCTAGGCTCAGTTAGAGGCAGCCATCTGCTGCAAGGAGGGGAAAAGGGGAATAAAGATGAGCACGGAGAGACAACTAACAATGGGCTGGCTTCTTAGCACTACATTTAGCATGAGGCAATGATAGTCTGGATTCAGTGAACCAATCAACACGGACCCGTATTGATGAACTTGGTAGACAAGATAGCTTTTTTTGAGTATTGTTGATAACATTGCAGTTAAATTATTTTGGCAATCTTTGGTCAAATTAATTCGGCTAATATTTTCATGAATGATGGTGTAGCTTCCTAGCTTGCCAGTCATCACACCAATATTATAATGAAATCCATATAATTCGTAATTCTATGAAAGATGTTATGCCAACAGATAAGACTGCTGAAACAGTCATGTGAGACAGTGAATCTTTAATTTTCTCCCTGTTGAGCTAAAACCATCTTTAAATGTTGATAAGTTGTCTCAGTGGAAAGTTTTGGTTATTTTCTGTTAGCCAGCGTTTATCATTAACAGCGTTTTTAGGCAGTGAGCTTGCTGTTGCTCTTCTTGGAGCTGACTTTTCCTTGGCTTTACAGTTTATTGTCTACTTTCTCCCTCTCTCCCTCCCACACACAGGATGTCATTTGGGATTTTTTTAGGATTCACTGCAGAAAGTCGTGCATTTTTGCAGAGCCCCCTTTATGAAGTGTGCAGTTCCTCTCGCTTGCTCTTCATTCCCTTTTCCTCACTACAAACTTTTAGTGTTTTACGGGAGCATCACAGTTGATATACAGATTCAGGGGAACGCAAAGATGGGTAGAAAGTGACATGATTGTGGTGGGCCAGTTTAAGTGAAAGTGCTGGACCTGACCTATTTCTCACAGTTACGCCCTGATGAGATTGCTGCAGCTGATTTCATGCCATGAACTCACTTCAGCTTTTTAGACCTTAGGGAAATAGTGTAAACAAAGAAAGAAACTCCACAGGGTGCCTTTAAGTAAGCTTGAGTGGTACATCTGAAAAATCTGTTCTTTTAATTTGCATTTCAGTTTGCATCTGGCAAAGTGTACAAAAACACATGAAAATGTGTTTTAATAAGACTGTATTTTGAAATGCACAATGGGCATACATTTCTTTCTGTCACATTTCACCCTGCACATGAAATAGGTTGCTATACACTCCTTCACCTTAATTTGCAACCCATCTCTCATTTTAAAATAACCATGCATTATATTTTTATAAGTATTTTTTAGACACTCTCGCCACCCACCTCCTACAGATGATGAGATTATGTTGGTACTTCCTCTTTGGTAATCAGGATGTGTACTTATCCAGCAGCACTGCTGATAAGAGCATAATCTTGAACCAAACACTGTTAAAAACATCAGGTGGTCCGATACCTCCCTCAGTGTTAGAGACCTTAGTCAGCATTGGTAAATTTTCTGACCATCAGTACATTCATAATCATTTTGAAAATGTCATGAGACAATTCAATACTACTCTAAGATAAAGAATGACAAAAAACAACTCTTCCCTTTAGGCTTTATCTAGGCACTTAAAAATGTATTCCTGTACAGAAATAAAGCATGCATTGTTTTGTTGTTGGGGTTTTTTTTGTTGTTTGTTTTTTTGTTGTTTTTTTTGTTGTTGTCAGAGTTCAGAAAGAAAAACTTGAGTAACAAAGCAGATCTTTGGGTTGTAAACAGTACTCACTTCCTTTTTTTGCAATTGTCTTTGAAAACAAAGTTCCAGTCTCCCACAAACTCAGTGCAGACGGTAAATATGTGAAAGAAAACATCTTCTGCATCCTTTGCTGCTCTTTGCTCTTTGTGGCCATTTGTGATCTCATGTTTTGGTTTGCAATGTGAAGAAGATGTGCTTATTACACATGTCAAAACCCACAACACACCAGAACACTATCCTGTCCAGGCTATTTATGACTCAGAGCCTCAGCGACGGTTTGATCTACCAAACCCTCGAACTGGCAGGCCAGCCCCACTCACTGGCATCTCTCCCTGTGTGCTCACCTCCTGCTGTGGCATCCTAACCCGGGGGGAAAAACATTTCTTTCTCTTGCTGCTTTGGTCCTGATTCCTTGTCTTCATTTTCTTGCCTTTCCTTGATTCTCTTCTTCCTTGCCCAATCTTATCTCTTGCTTTCCTTTTGTCCTTTCCACAAACTTCCGTTCTCAAGGAGGAGATTTAAAAAAAATCATCACTCCTCCCTTTTAGTGGGTGGGAGTCCCAGCACTTACACAGTGGTGCATGGACATAAAAAAGGTTTAGTTACAGGGCAACCAAGTGGCGTACATGGGGTGCTGCAAAGAAGCAAGGTACTGCTGAGGAGGAGAGGGTGGGCATGAGTAGACAGGCTGAATCTGTGCTACGTAATAGTTGCTGAAGTTGCCATCAGAGACATATGGAGCCGGCTGGTAGAAGCAGGTGACATTGGCAGCATTGGGTATGGCATTCTGCTGGACCAGAACCCGAAGGGCCAGCGACGAGATGAGGCTGAGTGTCTGACGCCTCTCGTGGCCCATCAGGCACACAGTGCTCTCTTGCACCACATTGTACAGCGTGGCAAGGTAGTCATACTTCCTGTCCTCCAGGTCTACAAAGTGGTTCTGCAGATAGGACTCCAGCTTTCTCCTCTGCTCACTCACATCAGGAAAGTCTATGAAGAATCGCGAGCACATGTAGCGCTGCAGCAGTTTCATCTCGGTGTCAGAAGCTGCACGGAAACCCCGAACCAGCAGGTGGCAGTACTTCAGCAAGCCCCCGCCGCGTATCTCCTCGGGGCTCCTCGTGCAGATGAGGCGCTTGCGCAGGTGATCGAGGGCGGTGGGGAAGTCACCATAGACACTTTCCCCAAGGATGGTGGGGTGGAAAGTTGCAGCCATTGGGTGCTCCGAGCACTCGTAAAAGAGGAGGAGCGAGTCCAGGCGGATCTGGAAAGAGTCCACGCTGAACTCAAACTGCCGGCGAAGAGAGTCCACAAACTTGAGCTCCACGTTCTTGCCACGGTTGTTGGACAGTGAGATGAGACTCCAGCGATCTGAGTCGTTACACACCTTCACCATCTTCTGCACATAAGCCTCCTACAAACAGACACAAAGTAAAACATGAAAAGTTTCTACACAATAGGAATCATGATCTTCAAGTAAATGTCATATTTTGCAGGCTTTAACCAGCACACTGAAATCATCAGTGAAAACTTAAAGACACTGTTGGAACAAAGAGAGTGGACAACAAGGGTTTTATACCCACTTTATATCCACACTAGAATTCTATATGCCCTCTACCTTTTTTATTTGTGTGTCATTAAGGGCTTACAAAAAGCACTGCATTATAAGATGAGTAACTAATTGTATATATCAGCTCAAAATCATTCAAAAACTCGAGGACCTCCTTCAACCCTTCTCTCACAATCTCTCAACTCCTCCTCCTCCCCCATGTCCTTTTCACAGCTGTGGTAAAGTGAAGTTCTTGCAAAAAGTTTATCAAAAACTTCTTCTTTTTCTGACCGTGACCTGCTCACCAGATGAACGACTGCATTCTGGGTCAGCAATGGAGATATAATGTGTTTTGACCATAGTTTGAGCAACAACTCCACATTAATGTGCACCAGATAAAAATCTCTGTCTGGCCTTTTACTCATCATGTTTTGCTGATCACATCTGTTGGTGGGCCATTAGTAGCCTGGGTAGTCCTTGGTATCCAGGTAACTGAGGGCCGACTGATTAATGTGGATCTGACTCCAATTGGATTAGACAGAATCCTCTTTGAACTGGAAACTAACCTTTTTACTATTTGTAGGCTTATATCTCTATGCTGCACTGACATATTCAGACTTATTAGAATTGGGTGCATTATTAAATCTAAAATGTATGCAATGACTGAGAAATTTTAACTAATTCTGCTTCATGTATAATTCAGGAATTGAGTAATTTTGAAGCTCTGCATTATATGCGCCAGTGCTTCACAGTTCTCATAAGAATCATAATTTGCTCCGTTTGTGAGTCACATTTCTTCATACACTACCTTTAAGGTCACTGGTGTGATCTTTTCTTTATTCACCCCCTCGGGCAAGAAGTCTAGAAGTGAGTCCAGCACTATATCTTTCACTATCTGAAACTCCATCTCCCCTTTCAGCTCGGCGCAAAATATTAAGTCCAGATCTTTCCATCCCAGACCGCTGTCCTCATGCAGGACGTAGCTGGCTGCCGATCCGTTTAACCGCACCTCCCGAACATGTATCCGCTTCTCCTCCATGCGGCTTCGGACCACCTTGACGATATCTCGTGGCTTCACCTCCAGGGTCGGGAAGCTCCATCGCCCGTGAATTGGGATGGAGCCCGTGAGGATGGTGTCCAGCCGATGCACTTGCTCCCAGTTGAGCACGCTGAGGTTGATGCTCTCTCCGTGCGAGTAGCTGTCAGCTGCAGCGCACTCAGCGCTCTCGATCATGTTGACAGGAGGTAGAGGAGGATGTAAACGGCAAAACTTTCTACTAACTCCGTCCGGAGCTGCGGCATTAGCCGGAGGCAGCGTTCTGTGGAAATGACCCTTAGGAGCGGAACTCTGTCACACCAACAAGACCGTGAACGACAAAACGTCTTTACGCATGACGAAGAGAACAGGTCGGGCGGCGTTGCCCCACTTCTTACATAAAGTCTGCTTCTCCAGACAAATTCAGTTCATGATCTTGTCAAGCTTTCGCTGGCAGACTGCGCGCTGCGATCCGTCTCCGTGTCTAACCTCTGGACAGCGGGTGTCAGCTGTGTCGGTTCTTTCTTTCCGTTTCAGCTTTTCGCAACGTCCCAGTAGTGCTCTGACGCAGCTATCTCAACCGAAAAATCCACTGGAGAAGTTTTACTTCTGTCTTCTTTGACTCGCTTTTTGTTTTTTTGTTACGCACAGCTTATTGCGTATCCATGCTGAGCAACTTTACGCTCCGTTTTTTTTTTTACAATGCGCGTTTCCGATCCCCACCTACTTTTCAAAAGCGGTGAGCGACTGCTGTTTGTCTTTTACATTTTGGCCGTTTTGGAGCTCGCTGATACTGCGCGATGCACGGAGGTCCCACTCCACGGCTGCTGGAGAGGTTGTGAACAGATCATTTCCAGTCCGAGAAGCGATGGGGCGGCTCGGTTTGATTGACAGCCCACACCAACTAACACCACCCCCTCCACCCCCTCCGCTTCCCATGGTTAATTTCAGTGGCTTCAAACTCGAATGCTGAGGCGTGTCTAAAGAAGAATAAAAACTTTTAAATTAAAGTTCTAGCCTTCAAAATCGGGGATTCGTATCCACAAACAGTCACTTTTACTCAAAATCCCATCATTCCGGAGATGCAGCCAGCCTACACTTGTCTTCCTGCAGAGGGGAACCCTGGTCTCACTGGTCCAGTATCAGCGCCCCCTGTTCAGTTTGACATAAATCTATGCACGTTATCAAAATCGGGTACTTAGAATTCTTTCCAACCTTCCAAACAGATACATTTGTGTAAATTACACAAATATAAAACACTACAATTTTACTACTACGCGAGGTTTCACATGCACCCTCTCTAGAGATGTTTGTTTTTTCTTCACTAGTTATGACGCAGCTCATCTTATCTCCAAAGTCACACATCGTGAAACCACATTTAATGCGCAAATTTAACAACAGTTTCTGTTTTATTTGTCCTCTTAACACCAACATGAATGTTTAATTTGAGCATATATGTGCGATGAAAGTTGTCGGTCATGTTCTTGACTGCGGTCCAGCTTGGGTATGGGCCACAGTCTCTCGGGTTAGTTGTCATAAAGAATCTGTCAGTGCGGAGCTGGGCGCGCATATCTGCGTCACTGCAGACGAGCCCATAAACCAGCTTATCGCAGATTACCCTCTATGTGCAGTGTCACACACGTTAACACCGACACACAGGAAGATGCGCTGTTAGCAAGTGCACTTTCACACATGAGGGTGAAAGTATTGTTATCCAAGAATTGTTTTTGTGCATGCGCAAAAAGCTAAAACACCGAAAAGACGGAGAAACGTGATGATAACCGTGAGCCAAGTTTTGAGTAAGACTGAAGCAAAGATCCAATACCATCTGTCAGAAAAAGGGAGGGATGTAAATATGAAAACACTAAATTTTACAGAAAAAAATAAGATATTTGTATCTGTTTAAAATCTATTTGTTATTTTAAAGTCCGACATATGACTCGAGTGAATAATCCATGTCAGTTTACAATCTGATAGGCAGCATTGAGATCAAGTTTACTTTAACTATTTGCCTCAGTATCATTGTCAGTCGTTGATGCAGTGAAGCATATGGCAGCTGCTTTCACTTCTTTGTATTGTTGATGCATTAACAGCAGCTACTTAACATTTAAATAATACGGGAAGAATCACATTTATGTGCAAATGCAAAACTTTTAGCATTAGTGCTGCTGCTGCATTACAGGAAATACTGTGCCATTATTTACACACTGCAAATACAGTACGTAGCTCTGTAGGTTAAGACACAACAACAGCAGGTCAGTCACACTCTTCACTTTCCCCATTCACCATTTAGCTCAGTTTAAGCCTTACTGCTTACTGTGAAGCAACTACTTACCTGACCTTTGACCTGCCAAGTGGATGACACCGGATTGGTTTCCGATGTCTAACGACTATCCAGGATTTCAGATAGACCGCATGCCTGGCTGCTAAACTTATCTCCATATATGGAAACAAATTTGTGCACACAAGAGTATCTTGAGGTGTGCACTAAATTGTAACCTATCTGTTTATGTGTGAATTATTATTGCACAGTGCCCTCTTTCTATTCAGGAACATGACAGTAAATGAATCAGAGAGTTTTTTTTATTAAAAAATTCAGATGCACCCAGGATTCTGATCACACTTAAAATATCTTTCCATATCTTCTGCATATTATTTTGAAATGTTTCCATGTTTTCCTATTAACCCACTATGTCTTCAGTCCCTCTATCCTTTCCTGCTCTTTGCTCATCCTCTTCCCCTTTCCTGTTTTTACCATTACTACACGTGGAAGTTCATTAAGAGATTACAGTGAAGTAGTTAGGTGAATGTCCATCCGCTCGCTTCCTCCCACTCTTAACACCTTCTATTATTTTCATATATAGCATGCTGGATCATTTTAGTATCTCAAAGATTTTCCATTAAAAAAAGAAAGAAAAAAATTTCCACATTTAACCCACATGTATTAGCAGCGTGCAGGCCTGCTGACCACCTCCAGATGTAAGACATTGAGACATTGTCCTGCTGAAGGTCACATTGACAGGAAAATTAGCCTGGCACAATTATGATGGCAGTTCTGTGAGTAGCTGCAGACATAGCAGCAGGGTGTAGTAAAATAAGTAAAATAAGCATATTAATGTTGATGAAAGACCTCCAACCATCTGGGATATTTGCTGTTTTGGTTTTCTGGGTGTTGGAGAATCTCCTAAAATACCACAGGCTGCATGAAACTGCTAGGCTGAATGAAAGTATTCAAACCTATATGCATTTATAGTGCACCGTGTGAAAATGGCAAAAGTAACCAAAATACATTTGCAAGATTCAACACCGTCCCCAGGCAGCCAGGCATAAAAACTTTAGGCTAACAAGATAATAAGGTAACAGGATAACAGGCATAAAGTCTACTGTCTACACGGGCAGCTAAGTCAAGTGTAGGGATACGTACGGCTATCTAAATGGTCTCTGTGGTGAGCAAATGGAGCTACGGGAAGCCTGCAGGGCAACAGTATTTATCAAATAAACTAATTACGCAATTACAAGCTAAACTTTGTCACACAGTACTTAACTGACCGTTTAACACTACATTGTTTATGCTTCATTGAATGGGACAAGAGTGTTTGCATTTGTTCTTGAATTGTTATTTGTGTCACCATCAGTTCTGGTGACTTCAGTGTGTTTTTTCTTTCTTTTTTTTCTGGTACATTTGCACAAAGAACTAAATAGTTCCCCAAAGAGATTAAATAATACAAGTTTTTATGATGAGGATTATTTCCTGGAGTATTTATTTATTCTTTTGCCAGGATCAACACTACATTAAAACCTCAGTGTTGGCGCTGCTTATTGGAAGGTGCTTTAGGGTCATTTGTAATTACATCAAACTCGTTTTAGCTCATGGGCCATATGCAGCCCAGTTGGATCCCAAATGTTTCAGACCAGTAAAACAATTGCATAATATATGTGTTAAGCAGTAGAATCTGAAATTATTTACTAGAGCTGAGGCTTCTTTAAAAAGCTGAAGTCAAAAGTAAGACACCTGTATCCCACACTTTAAACAATTTACCAGATATCAAAGGCATGAAACCTCACAGACAAGTCATATTTGTTGTCTTTATAATTCAAACGACCTGTCAAGAGATAGAAATACATTTAAATTGCCAGGCACGTTAACAGTAGAAAAGCATTTTATTTAAAAACCAAAGTATTTAATAACAGCAATTTAATTTAAGTGCTTCATCCGAAAAGAACCACTTAAATTAAATCTGTCACTGAAAAGTAAAATATATAAAAAAGCTTGCTTTGCCTTCCTAAACCAAAAAAGAATCTTGTATCTCAGTGTTTTATTCAATTTTCTATGACATTTTTTGTCTGTTATGTCACATCAGGGCCTACTGAAATATTTTGCATGAGTTCCTGTTGTTTTGCCCACAATAACTGTTACAACTTTTAACAAACACTTCACTTTAGCACTGGCGGTGATGCAATCATGCAATTGCAGGCCACCCTGTTTCTGCTACTTAGCATGCAACGCTCAGTCTTTAGCCCGTTGCCCGATCACATACATATAGCACTGTAGATGTATAGTGGGTATCTGCTAATGTCGACAAAGACAAACCTCAGCAGTATTTCCAATCAGTTTTAACCTTGACCTTCTGAAGTGACCTCTGTTGGCCTCAATCAACCCTAAAAGAATATGCTCAGTAGCGTAAGCCCCCTGCTAAACTCTTCCACAGCCACTAATGAGATTCATTGCACTGCTGGAGTGTAAGTCATGCAGCGCAGCACTCGGAGAAGGTCCTCCACATGGTACTGTGCTAACAACAAGTTTAAGAATTTGTTGAAAAGAAGCCCTACCAGTAAAACCACAATGAACCTTTTCCCTCCTTTTATGCATTTCATACGATTATAGATTAAGAGATTTCATGATTAAAAGTTTCCATTTTTGAATTTAACTTATAGACGATGTGTTCTCTTATCAGTAAAAAACGACACACACTAAAAAGCCGACCACAATCGACTGTGTCACAGTGTCACAGACGTGCATTGCTCAAGAAAGAAAAAGATGTAAAATGGTGTTTAAAATAGTTCAAAGTTGTTCAATAACCATAAATATATTTTTACATATATGATTAATTGACCACATTAGACTTTTTTTGCACAAGGCTCCTGCTTTGCTTTTGGAAAAATGAAATGAATAATGTCTGTGAGCTGAACTCAGGTGAATGTTTTAGTGCAGCCCCCAAAAATCACAGAATAGCCCACCACCCCGCAGTTTTTCAGACTGCTTTCTTGACTTGTCATAACAAGGGCCAAAAGACTGCTCTGATAAAATAAACAGGAAGTGAGTCGCCCAATCTGTGACTCAGCTTCCTGTATGATACCGTCGTTGGAGATGTTAATACCACAGCAAATTTCTCTGATGGTTTCTGTGTAAACAGTTGTACCGCTTGCACACACATTCATAAACATAAAATTGTGTGCATTAGAAGCCAAAGACTAAAATTAATTGGAAGTAGTGACAACATGCAAACATGTTGCAGTTTACACCTCATGAGGCCAGCCTTCCTAAAACAACTTTCACGGGTAGTCTAAAAACACAAAACAAAACTTGGTTTATTAGTTCCAGTTAATGATCATCAGTTCAACTTTAGTTAGAAACCGCCCTAAACCGGTGGTTTCCACAGTGCACAGTGCAGTAGTACACTAAAGTGAACTAATGATTTTTATAGTATACACTTTATTCAGCCTCTGAATGTGTTGAATATTCCCAGGTTAACGTGTTTAATCATAGGGCCACACAGTAAATTCTACTGTCAGGAATTATAGAAGCTATATAGAAAGAAATGTGAGACATAAAGGTTTTTAAACTCCTCTGTAGATTGATTA